CATCCTGGAATTTTTTTCCGTATGCCGGGGAAAATGCCTCACCTTTCTACATGAATTATTAGAAGAATTTCCTCGGGTCTCTATAAAACAGAAGGAAAAGCCCGGGTGGAAGCACAAACTAAAGGAGAGAGGAAAAGTCGAAAGGGGGGAAGAAGTCTAGTGCTAGTTCTTACTGAAACTTCWTGATTTTATCTAACTTTCATTTTTGAGTGGTTTCTTTGTTCTCTTTTAAGTCTTTTTCTTCAATAAACTCTATTATTGCTACTTTAAATCAGTAAGCAAAAAGTAAAACTTCAAATTTCATTTGTTGTTTATTTGCATGAAAAAAAAAACATATGAAATTAAATTTGCGTAACTTCTGATTCAAGATTGAGTAGTTTCGGTAGAGGGGTTGTAGAAAGAAAAACTAAAAGCCTACGCAGATGTCTATCCCACTCAAACCAAATGAGGTTCGGTTAAAACCATTTCGGGTTATTATTTTTCTGGTTAAACGGTTTGATCGGTAGACTGAATAATGATACCTTATAATTCCGCTTTGGTTTTTAGTTATCAAACTGAATAACCCGAAAATTCTATAATCCGAAACTTATTCAATACGATTATGAGGTGTAAAAAGTTAAAGAAAACCCTTTTAATCCAAACCAAATATAACTTGAAATATAATTCAATCGAACGAATAAATTAAAACCCTATTAATTCACAGAGTTCTAGAAAGATCTACTAGAAAGGTCTGTTAACTGATCATCTGTTTGGTTTGACGGAACCCTTCCCAGCTCTCCGATCTTGACTTTAAAGTATAAAAATACATTGAAGTACGTATTTGATTCATCAAAATTCCGTTATAATCGTATTACACAGTTTACAACTCTATCGACCAAAATTGTTTGAACGAGGTCTCGATTTTCCCTCAAACAAGAAAAAACGTATGTCGCAAGGTTACAAATTTCTATGATTTTAGGGTTTTAAACATCTAAAAAATTCATCAAATCTCTCATTTTAAGATGGATATACAGAAATTAAGTCATTAGGTATACAAGAAGACTTCTTCCAAACCCGAGCATGCATCTTTAGAATCTCCCTTGCTTTCTCCTTCATATTGCTTCCACAATCTACTTGTAACACCAAAAACAGTTTTCCCACCACCCCCAACTGCACCATCTCTTGCAGAACATGACTGTTGCCGGAGAACATCGCCACCGAGTACAATATCCTCACTGCCCTCTCGCTCGCCAGGGGCGACACACGGAAGATCTTCTTCGAAACCACCGCTAAACCACCGCCATGTTTCAACAGATCCGCCCGTCCTTCCGCACACTGACAAAGGTGGTCCAAAACTATAATAGCCATCTCCGGGACTCTCTTTTCTGTACAATCCAGGAGGGTGTCGATCAACACCGGAACCGCCCCTGCCTCTGCCCCCTTTATCCTATTCCGCCCCCATGGACAAACGTTGATGAGCAGCTTCAGTGTTGCTTTTGTTGCCTTTTGGGAGATTTGATCAACCAAGATTCGTACTAACTCTTCGAATAATCGAGAACTTAGCAACGTCACTTTCATCGGCTCCTCCGCCACCTCAAACATCGATTTAAGTAGCATCACGGCGTAGGTTCGTGACTCGAAACTGGTGGCGTGTTGCATCACGCTCGTCAACGTCTCCACGAAATCTCCTGTTAACAATGACTTCAGACCAGATGGTGATAGCTTAAGGTGGTAAAGAATGCTCAGTGCTTCATCAATCCCATCCACACCGGAAACTTCTGCGGCCGGTGATGATGACGTAACGTTAATGTTATTGACGTTTCTTGAAATCATGGACGCTAGGTAATCAGCTGCTCCTGCTGATTCCATCAACCGCTTGTTCTTTTCACTCTCCATAACAATCGTTTTCAACCTCTTCAAACTATTGATTTGCAGCTTCGGAGACTTCGAATCTTTGAGGAGCTTTAGGATTTGAGTTTTGGAGATCGGAATTCGTGGCGTTGGGAATCTTTCGACACCCAGAGATGCGTTAAGGGTGCACCAAGATTGGATAAATCGTCGAAGGGTGTGGTTTGGAGTGAGCTCTATGTCGACAACCACTTGTTTGGTTACTGGACAAACATCACTCTTCTGAGAAAACAACCATTTCTCGATGCTATCGCGATCGTATGTGATTCCGGTGGAGAGCGTTACAGGGTCTTTCATGATCTCCAACGAAATTGGGCACAGAAAAAAGGTAGGAACTTCAACAACACGATCACCCATTACTGAATCTTGAAGAAAACCCCAGAAACGAATTTGAAAATTGAATAAAGGGTTTGTTGAAATTGTATATGAAAGTAGAGATTTTGGGTGTGAATGATATGAAGAGTAGCTGGAGAGGGGTTGGTTTTATTATGATGATGATGAGTTATTAATTTTGAAAAAGAAGTCAACACGCGCAAAATGTTTGACTTTTCAAAGAGAATCGAGAGACTGGAGTTGTGGGAAATGAGTGTTTGTAGGGTGCGGCTGTATAGTTCTAGAAATGTTTACTTTTAGTCCTTAATCTTTTAACATTTTTCTCATGTAGGGTTAGACGTTTAAGATTTTTCAAAATAGATCCAAGATTACTTGCCCATTTTTTTTTACATATCTTTATTTTATATCATTTTTAGTAAAAGCTTTCATTAAGGATCAACGAAAGTAGAAGTAAAGTTTAAATCCTTAACTAGTCAATTAGGAGAGGTCACATCTGTAGGTGGTGAGGCGTAAAATAGAAAGGTCTTGTCAAGACGTGAGCAACAACTCTTCTAACGTATTGGACCTTAATCGATGGTTTTGATTCTAGAAGTTACCGGAAATGCTGAATGATGATTCTGAATTTAGTGTTATCCTCTTCCCCTCGGTTTGCAGCATAACTCACCACTTGGGAATCGATCTTGAAGATTACATGTTCATGTCCCATTTCACGAATCCAAGATATAGCTTCTACTAGGGCTAACGCTTCACGCTCCTTCACTTTGGGGCATCCTCACATACGTACTCTCATTCGGTCCTGATCTTTGAAAATCAGAGCATCGCAATTACATTTAACAAATTGTATGGGCTGAGGATGCCATTTGTTGCATTTGGGGCTGGTTCACTCTTCTCTTATGTTCCATATTTTTTTTTTTTGTCTTGAACCCACTAACGTAGTAGGAGGCACAGTTGTATTCTTTCAAACCCGTTGGTTTCTTTATTTCCAAATGCTCCACTAGCTGACCATTAGTTTGGTTAAGATCGGATCAGACACAAAACTTGCTACCTTAAACAACCATTCTTTATAGGTAGTTGAGGTAGATGTAACGTTTTAAACCAAGCTCCTTAACCCCATCTGTAAAAACTATAAACAAAACAAATTACCTTTCGTTTCTCGGTTCTATTTGGTCCTAATAAACAACCCCCCCCCCCCCCCCCCCCCCCGCGGTCGAAATGGATTTGTACCAAGACAAAATTAAGAAATTTGTGTATAAAAATCAATATCATAATACCGTTAAGAGATTGTATATTACAATTCTTATATTTGAACTTAACATCTGCTATCGACTTCTTATGAATCACATTTGTTAGCTTCATAACTCAATTTTAAATCAATTTATTTAATTTCATGAGGGAGCACTTTACGTTAATCTCGTGTTTTAGTTGGTTTAATGTATAACAGGAAAAATCTTAAAACAATTGCTAATTCCATTGACACGTTCAACAAATGTTGTCCGAATTCCGATAAGATGAATGGGTTGAGTAAGCGAATAACATCTTTAGGATGATGAAAATGAGTGGAGTTGACTCGGTTGTTTGAATCCCTTTTCTTGAAGCCTCCTATCAAGTAAGGCGTATAAGTCGGATGACGCAGGCAGTATTAGCTGATTAAATAATACAATAATAAAAACTATTTATAAAATAATTATCATGTCTTTTTAAAATATAACGTGTGGTCATAAATTTTTCGTCTGATTTTTTATTACGTTCAATTTCTTTATAAACGGTTTTATTTTTAGTTGGTCCTTTGTAAACATGATCATTTAACTTATAATTAATAAAATAAAATAGAAATAAATGGATTTTTTAAGCATAGTATCTTATCTTAAGTTCTTATATAAAAATATTGGTTCTTACCTTAAATTTCGTATAAACTGTGAAGTGACATTTTATTAATTTTTAAATTAAATATTTAATAATTATTATAAATATAAAGTAATTATTAATGTTGAAAAAAATACAGAGATCTCAAAAAAGGATTTTTATAAACGTTATTGTTATATATATCCTATTCCGCCCCCATGGACAAACGTTGATGAGCAGCTTCAGTGTTGCTTTTGTTGCCTTTTGGGAGATTTGATCAACCAAGATTCGTACTAACTCTTCGAATAATCGAGAACTTAGCAACGTCACTTTCATCGGCTCCTCCGCCACCTCAAACATNGGGGGGGGGGGTTTGGTTATTACACAGTCCTTTATATTTGTACAACCAATATAACTCAATCATAACCGTACATTTAATTTGATGAATATGTGATTTTATAAAAGTTTTGAATGTTTTCTAATATAAAGTATTGATCATAATTAATAAATCTTATTCATCTTTCATAAATATTCAAATCATAATAAATGAACTTTTATCATTTCCATAAATATCTTAAATAATTAAGTTGCATTAGTTGTACAAATGGATATGGTTGCATTTAAAATATACCCTGAATATATATAATTGGTATATTTTTCTTTAATAAATTAAAGGAAAAAAAAAGAGTTAAATGTAGGATCCAATAATACAAGTGGGAATATTATATAACACGTCAAAGACGAAATATTTGAACATAGAATTGTTTATGATAATTTAATACACGACTGATTGCAAAAATCGTCATTTAAATTCAAATATAAATATTTATTTATTTATTTGTTTATTTAATAAATATTAATTATTTTTTCAAAGCTCTTGTGCTACCAGCTACTAGATTGTCTTTATAATGTATTATAAAATTATATATAACCAAAATATTAAATATTTAAAAATTCAATTTTTATAAGAAAGTCAAAATCCCCTAGACCGGTTTAATAATCTTCAAAGAGTCATTGATCAACAATATCTTGATTTATTAGTAGGGGTCTAAATAACACGCGCGAGTATCAATGCACTCCACACGATAGTCATCTTTAAGGTTCGAACTCGACTCGAAAACTCGTGAGTAGTTTAAATTCGAAATCGACTCAACTGTTAGTATATTGAGTCGAGTGTTAACCGAGTCGATCTCGAGTGACTCACGAGTTGACTCGTTTTATTTACACCCTGAAGACAGACGCCCTTTTATTATAAGAAATCCTCACCATTCCTTTTTCTTATACCTACCGATGTTGGATCATCTGGCTGCCCGTTCACATGTCAATTTTACCCGACCTTTTAAAGTTATAAAATAAATTTGTCATGTTTTCATATGTTAATAAATATATTCAAAACGTCTCGAAGCTTTGGATGGAATTCAGGAATCGCAAATTCCATCTTGATTGGGATGTTTGGTCTTCCTCTCCCTATTTTATTTAGTCTTTGTCTAGTCTTTCCGTTTTGTTTGGGATAGGTCTCTACCTTGGTTTTGTAAGGGGATGTTTTCGTCTTCTTGCCCCTCGTCGTGTATTTAGTTTTCTGAACTCTTTTGTTTCTAGCTTCTTGCTGGATTCGCTTATGTTTTTGTTTAATTTTAGTGGTTGGCTTGGTTGAGGGTGATGGCCTTGCCGAAGCTCTCTTCCTTGTCCTTCCTTTTTGCCTTTCAAAATATATATATATATATATATATATATATATATATTCAAAAAATCGTAAATTTGACAAACACTTTAGTCAATTTTTTGATCTTCTAGTCCCTTAGTTATTATATATAATTCATTGCAAATATCATCGTTGAAATTTGCAATTTGCATTTTATCACAAGACTAACTATATATATATATATATATATATATATATATATATATATACTATATTATAAAGTATTTGATAAAAACTCTTAAAGCTATTTTTTATGTATGAAATACTGTTTATTGATGCATATTACTTAAAATTCAAGATTACAAGTAAATTGTACGTAAGTGCAACTTATTAAAGCTTCATGTTTGAAATTCGTGTAGATAAACATAATCAAATAAAAGATAAATATCTCATTTTAAAATATAAAAAATCTAAAATATAATTAGGATAATTATTGAGTTCTAACATAATACTTAGTTATTATCTTTATAAAAATTATATTATTAAATCTAAATTAAATTATAATTAAAAATTTTGAATTAAGTAAATTACACCAAAACACAAGAACTTTTAAAAAGATTAATTTGATACTGATATTGATATATTTTTTCAATTTTTTTTATATTTTCTAATTTATCTTTTATTCAAAAATAAAAACATTATTACTTTATCAAAACCACATAAAAGCGTATCATATCGACATAAAAAATAATTAATTATTATCTTTATAAAAATTATATTATTAAACCAAATATAAATTATTTCGTTATTGAACCTAAATTAAATTATAATAAAAAAGTTGAATTAAAAAATTACACAAAAAATGAGAAATTTTAAATAGTTAATTTGATACTAATATCGACATATTTTTGTCAATTCTTATGATATCTTCAAATTTATATATGCTTCAAAAATAAAAACAGTATCGTTTTTTCAAAATCACATAAGTTATAACATCAACCAAAATAAAAAATAAAACGAAATATTAAAATCAAGATGTATCTCGCTGCATTGCACGAGTACCCTTCTATATATATATATATATTAAAATCAAGATAATGTTGTTTTCATGAGATACAATTTTTACACTTAAAACTTCACAACAAAATGTTGTGAATGGAAAAAAAAATTGAATCTTTACAGCAAAAACACTGTGAAGGTTACATTCACAGTATTTTGTTGTGAAATTTCAAGTCTAAAAATCATGTATCACGTGTCTTACAAAAACAGTTTTGTCTCACATGATCCCAACTCTATATATATAAACTAAAGTATCTTACGAGCTTATCGAATCAAGTATCAGGTAACTCGACTCAGGTCGTTTGTATGTCGCATCAAATATTAACCGAGTCGATCTCAAGTTAGCTCATTTCATTTACACCCCTAATGATTAGTGGTAGATCTTATCCTCGCTAGACATCTCATCAAAAACGAGTACCTCTAAATATTTATCGTATATAAATATAAGGTTAGCTTTAAGAAAAAATCGCAATAAAAATTAAAATTCAGACAACTTATTAACCATTCATCTATACAGTATACACATGTACATACAAATAATTTATAAGTAATTTTCTAGTATCCACATATTCATAACATGCATAGAAACCAGGAAAGATCTTTAATTACATGTTTGCACATGTACATACCATATAGACAAATAGTTATTACGGTGTTCCTCAGTTTTTCATATTAGATTTTACCATGAATCTCAATCTTAAATACTAAATCATAGTTATGAGAAATCTGACATTGCAACCCCATCATCAGTGTGCAGAACTTGCACTCCAAAAGCAGCAGCAGTTTATGGTTACCATGTTATATATATCTCCATGAATTAAAAACCAACTCAGGTTCAAATACAACTCTTAAACCCTTCAGATAAGCAATAGTCTCTGTTTCATAACTTTCATTCATTTATCTCTGTATGGAGATCAAAAAACTGATTGTGAAAAAGAACACAAAAAAGAAAATGCTTTTAATCAATACTGAACATTCTGGTTGTGCAGCAACTCGACAAGAGCGGCAACGACTCCTTTTCCTTCGACAGAAACATCCATCTGCGGTTCTTCGATCTTCCTTTTCAATAATCTATCTACTTCTCCTCGTAGTTTCTGCAAAATCCCAAACATTTTATGAACGGTAATAATGCGAGAATTTGAGGGTGATGATGGGTTGTTGAAATAACGTACCTTTATCAATCCCAAAACACTCTTGGATGCGGAAAACTGGAGGTACCCATCGAGCATCTCGATACCATCTCCTTGTTTGCTAGGAATGAGATTGCCACCGAACATGAGCAGAGCATAATCTGATATATTCGTGGAGTCTCGAATGTATATGCTGCTAGTTTTAACCTTTTCGCTATAAACCATGTAAGGAAGAGGGAAAAGATGGACACCTGCGTTGACAGATGCAGGATGGATATCAACTTTTCCGACTTCTTTAGTGTAGAGGGCCGTTCGTTTTCCTCTTCTTTTGCATTGAACGACATTTGGGTAGAGCCCCGCACAAAGTATTGCACATACCATCTCCATGTCGTCACTGTATTGGTTATAAGCCTGAAAAACTCATAAATCCATCACCAAGAGAACCAACTTAAGAGTGCAGATGGTATGCAGACGGAACTGGACATGACTGAACAGGCGAGAGTGAGGTAGGCGGGTGAAAGCATCGTGGAAGGTTATAGGATTTTAATTTGACATCGGTAGTTTAGTAATTTACCAAGCTTCTCCTTGATTTCTGTTCCACGTATTTTGGTGGGACAGGAAAATGTATTTTTGTTTCACTCAAGGGTTGTTTGGTTCGTTTTCCATTTAAGTCCCGTCACATGTGTGTATTTTTGTATAGATTGGGAAGGTTTTTGTTTGGGAGAGTTTTTCCATTTGTGGAAGGAGCATCTTTTTTAATTGGCAGGGACAGGTTTTGGAAAACTTGGCTTTCAGCATAAAGCTCCCCCCTTAGAATCTTACTGAATAAGCCACTTTCTATATCATTAAGCCACTACCAAACAGCTATGTATAGCTGACGGAATAAGCTGCAAGTCCCATTAAGCTGCTAACAAACAGGCCCTGAGACATCAAATTTTTGTTTTGTCCAATATTGTACTATCCCACATACAGCATACTGAATTCATCCTAAATAGGAAGGAAAATCAAGATGGCATGATCATAGTAACTTACATTTGCACCCTTCGATTTGTCTACGAAGCCAATATCAGAGAGTAGATCCAGAAATTGGAGTCTCATGTCCTCCATCATCTTCAAGGTTTGCATCGACAAGAAATTTTCCCAGCAGTATGATTTTTCATTTCCTGACCGTTTTGCTTCCTTCCACCCTTCAAATGCTTTAAGAGCAGCTATGTGGTCACTGCATAAACCGAATTAAATGGAATATGAATTTCTAACTTGCTGTGAATTTATATTCATCTACTGTTTCTAGAAATTTCCAACCTGCATGAATCACCAGCAAAGGATCTTTTTGCTTCATCAGCCTCCTCTTTCCGGTTAATTGGAAGGACAAATGGGCTGCGATGTGCAAGAGCCGCAGCGATTGTCAATGCAGGATTAACGCATTGGAAAATTGATCCCATGAGAAGCATCTTCCCAATATTAGGCTCCAATGGCAGAGTGCACAAATGGCGTCCTGTTCAACGATATAAATTTAATTATCAATACCATATCTAACATCCTACTTTTTTTATATATATTTACCTCAGTTTGTTCATATAGGGTCAGGTTCAGGGGAAAGCCGAAAAAAAATGAAAAGTTGAAGAACATCTTGGTAACTATTCATCTGGACAGTATGCACATGTACATACAAGTAATTTCTAAGCAATTTGTCTGGTACACAAATGTGCATAACATACAGACATACATAAAAACCAAGAAACAACTTCAATTACTTGTATGCACATGTGCATACCATCCAAATGAATGTTTACCAGGGTGTTCCTCAGTTTTTCATTTTGTGGGGGTTTTCCCCTGAACCTCTCTCTCTTTCTCTCTCTCTACACACACATATATATAGATAGATAGAGGGTTGGGTTCCAGTGAGAAGAAAAGTTGGGGGGAGAAGCGTAAGAAGAGATCTCCACTCTTGGATCAATCCTAATTGAATATCAACACTAATGAGGTGCACTGAGATACACCGGATCAATTCTCTTCTAAATCATGGGTGGGCATGAGATTAAAAGTGATAAAGAGTTTAGATCCCTTCTTATGCTTATTACAATAACTTCTTTTCTCACACGATCCTTCGCCGATAGATAGATAGATAGATATAAAGTAACAAATATTCCACATCATACCAAGTGGAGTAAGCTCTTCTGTATCATCTAGAGCGCCAATAGTCTTAAGAAGTTCAACGGCATTTTGAACCGAAAGAGCATCAGGAGGTTGCAGCGCCTTAGCCAAGAACGTTCCAATGGCTCCAAGTTGCAAGCTTTTTATCTGCAAGCACAGCTCTTGCAAAGGTGTTCGAAGAATTTCAGGTGGTTGATACTGAAGCATAGCATCATGAACCATTTTTGGATACAATCTATAACAGACCCCCGGCTGTACACGACCAGCTCGACCACGTCTCTGTCATTGCCACCAGAACATGACATCAGAAATAGATGCAAGATTAGATGAACTTTAGGGTGCGTTTGGTACACAGATGGGACTGGACGGGCGACAATGAGGTAGACTGGTGAAAGAACCGTGCAAGGTTTTAGGGTTCTTATTTGATATGGCTAATTTAGTAGTTATCAATCTTGTCTCATCTCGCTGATCTTTGTTCCGCTTCTGTCCCACTTGGTTCCGTCCTGTCCCGGTCTAAATGTAGCACCAAAGATGGAACAAGTTCTTTTGTCCTGTCCCATGTATCAAACACCCTTATAAACATTTTCCTTACAGAAAGTAAAAAGGCACCTGATGTGCCGAAGCTTTTGATATCCATGATGGTAGCAAACATGCCAGCTTGTTTAAAGCGTCATAACTGGTCTCCTTTGCTTTTCCACAGTCAATAACGTAAACCACGTCATCTATAGTTATACTACTCTCTGCAATGTTTGTTGCTAGAACAACTTTTCTGCAGATAAGAAGAGTCGTCGAATTAAGAATTTTGAAACATGTATGATCTACACTTGCTAATTGACAAACTGCTAGCACACTGATTAAAGAGCAATCATGAGCTTTGAAAATATTCGTTTAAGGTATAAATTAGTGGAAGGAACAAGGAGAAATAAAGATGAAAAAAAGAAGTAAAAACCTCAAATACCAGCTACAGAAATAGTTTACAAGCTAGAACTGCAACTAATTTAACGCAGAAATGCCCCCAACAAATAATAAATGAAATAAGATTATATTGTTATCATGGGAAGATAATCATTCATTTTTTAGCATCCACTTGAAATGTAACCACTGATAGCATGAGGTCATTAAGTAGTGACCTGTGCTCAGAACATATAAACGACACAATACAACATTGGGATAACAACTCGGAGATATAGGAGTCAATTCATTTTCATTCCACATGGCCCACCCACAAATAAATCTTAAAAGTATTTCCAAATATTATGAACAAATATAACTAGTATTTAACAAGTGGGTTTTAGTCCCCAAAAAACTGTATTTTGAATGTTCAAAAAGAAATCTGAAGAATTTATGATGTAACTCTTAACAGAGAGATGTAATTGATCGAATAGGGTACTTCTATGGCTAAAATCCAAAAGATTCTAAATCCGGAAACCCTTTCCTAAAAAGTTTGCAGTGAAAGCAAATTTGCAGCTAATTCAGTTGAATAATCATGGATGAATGTGACAGTTTAAGAAGAAAATAAAACCTTAGAGATGAAGCAAAACAGCTTAATTCCTCATAATGAAGTTTATATAAAAATGAATCTAGATGATAGAAAACGCTTACCTCATGCTTGATGGAGGGCGATCAAAAATTTCTCGTTGGTTGACAGTAGGCATTGAACCATGAAGAGGAAGGAGAAGAAATTTTGCAGGATTGCATAGAAAATTGTTAGCCTTGACATTGTCAAGCAGCTTTGAGATTTCATCCCAACCTGTAAGAAACACAAGAATTGCCCCTGGACCTTCATGCCGACAGATATATTCAATGGTTGCTTCCACCTGCAAAACGATAAAGAACTCTTTAACACGTTCAGCTGATATTCCACACAAATTGGTTTCTATAACCTAACAAGTCTTATAGTTTGTGAACCATAGCATCAGTTCCAACTATGCAAACAAAGCCAGATACAACTAAACCTTGCAATTATGTGAATATACTACAGGTCTGCAGCTTTGAACTGAATGTTTCCTAGAAAATCATTAGCAAGGGAAAGAAAGGCAGATGGTGTAATGCACAAGGTGGCCCATCATATAGATGTATATATGTGTGTATACATACACACAGATAAATATACATCCTTTATTGTGTGTGGGTGCGTGTGTGTAAATGCATCTACCTATATGCATGTATGTACTTATCTATATGTCGTATTTGTATATGTGTGTGAGAGTATGTATGCTTGTGTGTATAAATATATGCAGACATCTATCCTCTATGAATATATATGTATAATGTAAGTGTACATATACATATGCTTACATCTGTCTGTCTGTATGTAAGTGTATATGTGTGTTTGTATCTATCAGTGTGTTTGTATGTTCGAGTATATGTGGGTGGGTGGGTGGGTGGGTGTATGCATGTATGTATGACTCTCCGTGTCATGTATGCGTCGGCATGCAAAATCGTGAAGAAACTTATTGTAAAAAAATTGGCTTGTAATGTTTCCAGTTTAACCATCTCTTTTACCAGTTACACGTACTATTCCAAGTATCAAGAAAGTTTATATAGTGAATATATAAAAGATATTGGTAAAAGTACAAAGCTACATGTTATGTATTTTGTCCTATGCACATTTATGTGAGCACGATAACTTCAAATCTACCACTTCGAGAATTGTTGCTTAGTTAGATACATACAAGGCCCAAGTCTGTTTCTGAACCAGACCAAGCTTCAAGAGATTGTCTAGTATTTGCACTGTAGCTTTTGTACACAGAGCTGATGTCCGCATCCTACAACAGAAATTAGGTTCAATAAGCTCGATAACAGTAGGTCATAAACACTAAGAAGAAGATAATATCCATGTGACGGGTCCACTGGAACATAAAAATATAGACAAAAGATACAGAAATGCACTGCTTGATTCTACAGGATAATGCATGTAGTTCATGTTTTGGTAGAAATTATCTATTAGATGTCATGTGCATAAATTTAAGATATCAAACAGGTTCATGGATTACACTTTATGACTCTTATCAATACTGAAAACAAAGGCAATACCAAAAAACATATTAAGAAAACAAATCCAAAAGTCGCTAAAACATGGACCCGTTTTAAGATATGGAATTTGGTTAACAAAACATGGACCCGTTTAAAGATTCCACAACATTTACTTATAGGACCACACAAGTATTCTATTAATAGTTTCATTTAACTTGATATCTCTAGGTACTTTATTTTTTTCCATAGACTACCTCCAGTGACTCGACTAATCCTATTTGAGGGGCATGTATACCATAAACCTATGAATCACTTCAGCTGCAGCTAGTTTGACTGCTCAGGGGAATTTCCATTTAAGATGAATAACAACTTAGTCCCTACATGACTACACCAGGAGGCGACGTTATGAGCTACTCCAGTTCCATGCTATTCATTTAAGGGGTCTCTTTAGGTCCCTTGCAACTATCTCCTATTCATTTAACCTCTTGAAAAAACATATGGAACTTAGTCTCCAACCAAAGAGAACAGTTTTTTCCCCCACACCCACTCTTAAAAGTGAACGGACCCCAAGTTCATCCCCTTGCAGCATGGGTGATTAACGATGCATGTTACTCTGAGGAAAATACCACATTAACTTTACCTTTAAGTTCAACAAGTACATCATGTCGCTTTAACCAACCCAAATAGCTTCAAAGAGACAAAATTGAAACATAAAGAACAGCTGAACTAAAACCAGGACACTCAAAAATTACCACGGAGCAAGAATAAAGACCATGGGACATGCTTAACTAAATGGTTTAGCAAACATAAAATCATACCTCGAATTTCTCAGTTATGGGATCACTCTTAGACTCTTGTTGTCTCCTCCTCCTCCTTGAATAACCCTGAACATTATCAGACTCGGACTTCACAGCATAACGGGTTTTCTCCAGCACATCTTCTAGAAATAGCTCTTGCACAGGAAAGGTCAATCCCTAGTAATATAATAATAATGATTTGATTAACAAATAAAACAAATGGCGAACCCAGAGAGCCAAAGCTGAAAATTCCACAAGATAACAAAAGTAGTACCGGGATATGGATGGTTGGGGCATTTCCAAAATACTTGGAGAACAAGTCGGCATTAATAGTGGCACTCATTAATATAAGTCGCAAGTCTGGACGTTTTGGGAGAAGATCATGCAAAATTATCAAAAGAAAATCTTCATTCATTCCTCTTTCATGAATTTCATCTACCAGCAAATGGCTGATTCCTGTTAAAGCTGGGTCCTGAACCTGTAAAGCAACATCAGAGAAGACCTTTTAATGGTATACAATAAGGGAAGTGACGAAAACAACAATCTATGTGGTTCATTGCAAGGCAGACTGGAGCAAGATGCTTCGTGAAACTTAGTTTGGTGTTCTAAAACATCTGGCAGAATTAAAACCATCCTATGATTTACATCTCGTTGTTGGTTCTACAAAAGAATGTAGCCTATGTGGATGAGGCTTGCAAACCACACATTGCAAACTATGCAATCTGCCCACTACTGTGGTCCAAAAAGGAAATATAAGTAGGAATTTTTGGGCAAGATCTGCAGTTTTTAGACATTTATGTATGTCTAGAGGACTAGATAAAATGCAGAGAAACTTATGTAACACGTTTGAAGATGAAAATCTGCATAATATTACAATACCAGCTTCCGCAACAATACTCCTGTCGTGCAGAACAATAATCTTGTCTGTTCAGAGCACTTTGACTCCAGACGGATCTGATAACCAACGGTTTCACCGAGGCTCTCTCCCCTTTCACTGGATATTCGAGCAGCAACAGATATAGCAGATATACGACGGGGTTGGGTGCATATAATGTTGCAGTCAGAACCACGAAGGGATGATATTTCCTCCTCTAAGATGAACTGAGGAAGCTGTGTAGTTTTGCCACAACCAGTTTCTCCAGAAACCACTAATACCTTTATTGCCAAAAAAACATTGAGTCATTCACCATAGCTGTTTAGGGATTTAAAAGTCACTAAAAGAATTTAACTAGTTTCAGAGTCAATCAGGATTAAAAAAGTATCGAGTTCTTAATAAATGGAAGCAACAAAACTGATAAATTGGTAACAAAAAGATGCTAATGAACAAACATAGAAGGCATATGCTGCACCCGCCACTTAATAAATAGTTCACCACTTATAAATGCACCGAGTCAGGCATACAAGATGAGAGCTGCAATGGCTACTGCAGTGGACGATTAAATTAATGCACAATAAAAGAGACATACTACCTCCATCCATGGAAATTGTAACACTTGACTAAACACGTAGCTTAACAAAAATATTTGACTATAGTCAACTGTCTCAAATATCCTTAAACGATGATGAGATAAAAGGGTCTTGCGAACCAACATCAATAGAACTTGAAGAGCGAATGTAATTAAAATGTTTCCAAAAAAAGGAAACATTGCAATTTGGATGACATATCCCAAATAGAAAATGTTGCAACTTCATGGACTGGAAACTGTGAGTCTGAATCATATATATACACACACAAAGACATAAAGTTGGTGATAAAATAGTAGGCTAATTTGCAAACCTTCAAAACTGTCTTTCAAGTCAAAGGCATAAAACTAAATAGATGACAATGTAAGATGTTAAAATCAATAAGAACCTGGTTTGCAGCAACAGCTTTTAAAAACTCAGCTTTCACTTTGTGTGCAGGAAGCTTCTCTCTGAACAAACACATCTCCTTCACAGAATCACGTTCCTACAAGTTTTTTAGTTATTAAAACACAAACTGAATCCTTCAGTTTCCCTGGATGATACTGAAAGATATCTTAGAGGACATTATATATATATGTACCTTCTGCTTTTCCTGTCTTTCTTTGAGTTCAACACTAAGTGCCTTCTTCGCATCATCTCTCTCTAAAACTGAGATGCCAGCAGTTTTATCTGATTCATTGGGAAATTGCTTGGCCCTCTGCATGGATCCACTGGATATTTTGTCAATTTTTCCGGTCCCTGTAGAACTATCCAACAAATTCTCGACTCTTCTCTCGGTCTCTGTAGACATCCGTATCTACAAAATAGATATGGTTCAAATAAGAATAAGATGTGATCCCATAAAACTCGAAACATCCAGATGCTTACACAGATGGGTTTGCCCTACCTCTTTCTGTGCAGATCCATGACGCTCATCAAGATCTGCACGGTAGTCAGGTAATGGAACTTTGCTCACCACAAGTGCCTTGCCTTTGTTGTATGCATGACTTCCTTTCCACAAAGAAAATACCAAGACAGGGATTGTAAGGTAAAATGTGCATAAAAGACGAAGAAAGAAATTATATTTTCTCTCTTGTTTACTACGGCGATGAAGAATCAAATTATCACTATATTTGTTCCTTGAAAAAGGCGCTCAGCGTACAGGAACTGTTCAGGATATTATGGATAGACCTCAACAGAAACCTGAGGAGTAACGACAGCAAGTGATTGAGTTCTCTAAACAAACATAACAACTAAATGTTTTCCTAAATGATCCATAACATAACTGCATAACAACACTTTGTAAGTGGGGTTAACATCATAAATTGTAAGGATGTTTACCAGATAAAAACTATTCACAGTAGTAGCATTGCAAGATTCTAAGATTCAAGCTTTCTTTACATACAAAATAGCACCACAAACAATAAGAGCAAAATATTAAGGTGAAAGTGGTAACACATTTCCCTTGGCTAACAATACTCGAATACATCTACGTTTTCAAAAGCAAGGGATAATTGTGGCACTTACAAATAAAGACCCAGTTGATATGCCATATCAGAAAGAGTCTGTTGGTCTCCTCGACTGAAGTTATGCTTTATTATCAACTCTGGCTCTCCTCCCCTTTTCATTTGCTCTATCTGTCCCCACCAGTGATTCTTATCAAAAGCCTCAACCTGAAATCACCATATTAATCATGAACTTGTTGCGTATTTAACACCAACACAATTCTATTTTCACAGCGTTATGAAGTCCATGTTTGCAAAGGATTTTTCCTCGACAAGTTTAAAGTCCATATCAATCATGAACTGAAAGTTACCCAGTTTAATATCCAAAATCAAAGTACGGCTCTTTTTGAGTTATGTGCAATGTATAGGTCACAACTCACACGCATGGATTTATTAATGGTTTAAGATGATCGTTACCGTTTCATTCAAAACGAAAAAACCCTAGAAACGAAATGAACTTAATCTGTAAAACGAAAACAAAAACCTAAACCGAATTTAACCTCGCCTTGCATCTGTCGAAGCCGTTCAGCACGCCAAACAGGATCCCACCATCTTTGCTCACCTCGTCCACCTCCACCTCCACCTCCACCTCCACCTCCACCACCACGGCGACCACCTCCACGACCTCCTCCACGACCGCCACCGCGACGGCCTCCCTGAGAATTAGGACGGTAAGACATGGATGTGGTAAAGAGACGAAAAGTAGTTGGGAAGCAGCAGTGATTATTAGTGATGAAACGCGGAGAAAGCGAGCGCAAGTGCACTCGCATCGCACTGGAGTCTTTTATATATCGACAATGGATTGGTGGTCGAGTGAGTGGAGACTTTCATCACATGTAATTACCAAAAACTTATAGAAATGCTATGAAAAATTAAATGTATAAAATTACGATACCAAAAAAAGTGTTTGAGATTATTTATTTGAAATAATTTATCTTTTTTTTATAAAAATATTTATTAATTTATTATAAGTCAGAAAAATTATTACCTATTTGATATCGGTATAAATTATTTATTTAAACATTCAAAAGTACTTATTACCGGCGTCGTACCGGAATAAGTCAATAAATTATTTTTATAAGCAATCCCAAACACCCCTTTGAAATTGTGTTTCCGAAACTTTTTCTCCTACAACCCTTTCAATCAAATCAAGAACATCTATTTGATGATTAACAGTTACTATTTAATTTGTTATAACTACTTTAATTAAAAGAATAAAAAAATGGGTGATAATATCGGTTGTATAATTTAGAGGTTTAACGTTTCTCTACAAATTTATACATGTTTTTATAAAATTAATTTTTTGCAAGCCTGAGTTAGGATTTAGGAATAGGGATGCACATAAACCTATTGGAGCGACTAATCCAATTACCCGGCCCAAAAGATTGGGCCAAATAACCAATTTTTACCGACTAAACCCATTTCTACTTTTAAACTTTCAATTGAGTCCACCGGCCCAAATTTTGTTTGAATGATTTTATTATATATGTTGTGTGAATTTATATATTTCTTTTTATGTACACAATAAGGGTATTCGTGTAATATAGCGAGATATATCTTGATTTTAATATTTCGTTTTATTCCGTTTCTGTAGATGTTCTAATATGGTTTTTATGTGGTTTTTTAGAATGAGATAATGTTTTTATTTTTAAATAAGATATAAATTTGAAAATATCATAAAATTTCGAAAATAAATATATCAATATTAGTATCAAATTAATTATTTGAAAGTTCTTTTTTTTTTGTGTTATATCTTTAATGCAATTTTTATTATAATTTAATTTAGATTTAATAATGAAGTAATTTATTTTTGATTTAATTATATAATATTTTTTATAAGGATAATAATTTAGTTATGTTATAACTCAATGATTATCCTAAGTATATTTTAGATTTTTATATTTAAAATGAAATGTTTATCTTGTATTTGATTATGTTTATCTGTAGTTAATTACACGAATTCAAACATGAAGCTTTAATAAGTTGTACTTACGCATAGTTTATTTGTAATCTTGGATTTTAAGCAATATGCATCAATATACAATACTTTATGCATAGAAAATGATTTTTAAGAGTTTTTATCAGATGTTTTATAATATAGTATAGATAATATATTTTATATAAGACAAATACAACAAATAAACTTATACATTTTTTTCATCATTAGTGAGGTTTAAACCCCTGACTTTTTAGAAGACAAAAAAGACTCAGATACCGGTAAGCCAATTATTCTTTAATATAAATTTATATTTATATTTGAATAATTGTAATAGATAATAATGATATTTTAGTCATGATATTAAATATTTAGTGGTTAAGCATTAAAAACCAAGACTTGATTTTATATCTTCAACTACATGATTAAATTAGGTTACATTATCCATTAAATGGTATATATTTTGGTTTATAAAACATCGTAACTTTCATGTTTGTAGTTTTTTTATTAAAAGTTAATGAATAAAAAAAGCTTTTAGATAAAAAAAATTGAGCAATATTTTTATCATTATTAATTGTAAAAATCTACAAAAAAAATATATATAAAAATGTGCATCGCGAGGAAGCAGTATTTTAATAGGAGGGGTGCTAATGGCACCCCTTATAGGGGGGTGTTGAATGCGTTGGAAATTGGGATGACTTTAAAATTAAGAAAACATCAAATCAATTTTAAAAATATATTATATTTAATTATTATTAGTATTTAATATATATATTGTTGGGTCACCTATTGATTTGGTGATGACC